GTATGTATGTATGTATGTGTGTGTGTGTGTATGTATGTATGTATTATATATGTATGTTCATGTATATATATATGTATAAATATAATATATATATATATAAATATATATATTTATATAAATATATATGCATATATAATATATATATATATATATATATGTATATGTATGTATTATATGTAAATATATATATTGATATATATATATATTTATATAGATATATATTCATATATTCGTATATGACTTTTTTATCCTGCCCCTTCAGTGCTTGTATATCTCATACATCTCTCCACCTCACTCTCCCAGGATTCTGTCTGCGAGGGCTGTTACAAACACTGGACACCTACTCGTCTGATGGGTTCGTGGAGGAGACCCTCTCTACCGTGGATGTGATCTGTAGGTTCTATACGGATCACAAACAACTTGTCATCCCCCACGAGGTATGTCTAACTGATACAACACACGGTGTAACATGAGCTATGTCTTACCTATACACCACACGGTGTATCATGAGGTGTGTGTAACCTATACACCGTACTATCGTATTAGTGCATAATCTAGTGATAGCCTAACAATGAACCCAACGCACGCTACCCTGGCCGTAGTAGTATACCCGCCAGTAAGCATGTAGTCAAAGGGCGATTGGATTGGTCCGCGGGAACTATGTACCGAACTCCCGCGCCTTATGCGACAGTTGTCCGCTAGTTCTCAGTTCTCAGACAAGCACACGGTGCATTCATTACATTACCACTCAGGTGGAGGAAGCCGTATTCCGACTCATAGCCAAGCACGGCCTGTCGATGATCAAACAGCTGGGTCTGGAGTATGTAAAGAACAATAACTACATTAAGAAGATGGTCGACACCGCCATAGCCAGGAAGGTCCATGGCGCCGACCGATAGAAGCGGAGGTTTAGGTGCTTATTAATAAAATGAATGAATGACAAGAGATGGGTTAGTATAGCATCACAGCTTGAAGGAAAGTGCCGGATCAGTGCATACGCCGATTAGAGGAGTTTGATTGAGAGACTTGATGATGAATATATCATCATTAAGCAACTGATAGGAAAGGAATAGCTTAGTGAATACTATTTAAAGTAATCTGAATGTAAGTATAGGTTTTGTGCCTGTTAGCAGCTTGAATGATAAAAAGGGTTTAGGGTTATGTCGATAACAGATATTTGAAAGTAGTTTGAATGACAGGCATGGTTTGGTGCTTGTTTTAAGTGGAACTTGAATGTAAGCGATGTTGCAGGTAGCGATTACAATATAAGTAGGAATAACAGTGGAGATTCAGAATGGGGCCTGTGAAGTAGATACGAAGATTCCCGTATTGCTCTGGTAGTGAATGGATATAATATTGCATGTCTGCAGTAAACGTTTTGGACTAATTCCAGACTATGGACTAACCGATGACTTCAGACTTTTAACACGCACTCTTAAATGCATATGTAGAAGGCACGTTCAACGCACGGTGAATCTCACGAGGTGCATCTCGTTATATGTACTATGAAGTATATCTAACCATGTCTCAGACGAAGGGCTTCCGAGGGTGGAGTGAGCAATTGGCTTGTGAATGGTGTATCT